TAAAATGAATACACTGCATTATGTTTCCTCCTTTAATTCTGTTAGTATTTGTTTCACATATGTAGATCCTCCTGTGTTTGGTACATAGATATTTATGTGTGTATATATATATATTTAAAAGGTTATATCCTCTTTTTGGACTGACCTCTTTATCATTATATAATGTCCTTCTTTGTCTCTTGTTACTTTCTTTGTTTTAAGTCTATTTTGTCTGATGTAAGTACTGCTACTCCTGCTTTTTTTCTCCCTAGTATTTGCATGAAATATCTTTTTCCATCCCTTCAATTTTAGTCTGTGTATGTCTTTGGGTTTGAAGTGAGTCTCTTGTAGACAGCATATAGATGGGTCTTGTTTTTTTATCCAATCTGTAACTCTGTCTTTTGATTGATGCAGTCAGTCCACTTACATTTAGGATGATTATTGATAGATATGTACTTATTACCATTGCAGGCTTTAGATTTGTCATTACCAAAGGTTCAAAGGCAGCTTCCTTACTATCTAACAGTCCAACTTAACTCACCTATTATGCTATTGCAAAAACAATCTAAAGGTTCTTTTGGCTTTTTTCCTCCTTTCTTCTTCTTCCTCCACTCTATATATTAGGTGTCATATTTTGTACTCTTTGTGTATCCCTTTACTGACTTTGTGGGTAGTTGATTTAATTTTGCACATGCTTTGTAATTAACTGGTCTACTTCTTTTACTGTGTTTTTTTCCTCTGGTGACAGCTATTTAGTCTTAGAAGCACTTCCATGTATAGCAGTCCCTCCAGAATACACTGTAGAGACAGTTTGTGGGAGGTAAATTCCCTCAACTTGTGCTTATGTGGAAATTTTTTAATCCCTGCTTCAAATTTAAATGTTAATCTTGCTGGGTAGAGTATTCTTGATTTCATGCCCTTCTGTTTCATTGCTTTAAATTTATCATACCATTCCCTTCTGGCCTGTAAGGTTTCTGCTGAGAAGTCTAATGGTAGCCTGATGGGCTTTCCTTTGTATGTGATCTTTTTTCTCTTTCTGATTGCTTTTAATACTCTGTCCTTGTCCTTGTCCTTGATCTTAGCCATTTTAATTATTGTGTGGTCTTGGTGTTATATTCCTTGGGTCCCTTGTGTTGGAAGATCTGTGTACTTCCATGGCCTGATAGACTATTTCCTTCCCCAGATTTGGGAAGTTTTCAGCAATTATTTCCTCAGAGAAACTTTCTATTCCTTTTTCTCTCTTCTTCTTCTTCTTCTGGTATCTCTATAATGCAAATATTATTCTGTTTTGATTGGTCACAGAGTTGTCTTATTATTTAATTTCAGGAATATATAAAAGTTGAAATATTATTATTTCATTTCATTTTTTCTCTCTGTGCCTCAGCTTCTTTGTACTCCTGTTCTCTATTCCATTTACCATCTCCTCTACCTCTTCTTATCTGCTTTTAAACCCCTCCATGGTATGTTTCATTTAAGATACTGTTTTTTTCCAAAGTTTCTGTCTCTTTCTTAACATCATTCTTGAGATCTTGAATATTTTTCTCTAGCTCCATGAGCATGTTTATGATTTTTATTTTGAAATCTTTATCAAGAAGATTGGTGATTTCAGTTTTACTTATCCCTCTTTCTGGTGTTTGAGGCATCTTTGTACAAAATTCTTTAGTTTTTTCATATTTCTAATGATTATTAAGGAATAATAACTTTGTGTAGGCATTTCCCTTTAGTCCCCAGAAGCTCCACTTTCTGGAGCTCTCCAGCACCTACAGCCATGGCGGGGCTTGCAGGTGAGCTGTGCCAGTGCCTGGCAGAAGGAAAGAGCTCTTTTCTGCTTCCCGGCTGCAGTGCCTGCCTCCACTGCCAGGGCCAGTGGCCAGGTGCACAGGGAGGAGTCTTTCTGTTATGCCCCTGTAACTGCCATAGGTGGGGCCACCCTCCAGCTGCCTGGCCCAGTGGGGGCGCAGCAGGTGAGCACACCAGTGCCTGCTGGGAGAAAAGAACTCCTTTCTGCTTCTGGCTGCAGTGTCTGCATCCACTGCCAGGACCAGTGAGCCAGGCATGCAGGGAAGAGCCTCTGCATTAAGCCCCTATAGCTGCTATAGGTGGGCCACCCTCCAGCTGGCCTGATGTGATGGTAAGGGCAGCAGGTTTGTGAACCTTTGACAGCCAGGTGGAGGGTGTGGCAGGTTGCTTATCACAGTGGGGAGCCTCAGCACTACATTGCCAGCAATGGGGATGAAGCACCTAAAGCTCCTGAAAGTTCCCAACGTGCTGAGCTGAGTGTGCCAGGATGATTTTGTCCACCTGCCCTTTCTCGTGAGCAGCAAGTTCTGTGTAATCCTTGTCCCTTTTTCAGCCCTCTCGCTGTTGGGAAGTCTTTCAAAGTGCCCACCTTTCTTTTGTCCCAGAGTGGCCAGTTGTTCTCCACAAGCAGCTGGAATCTCTAGAGCACCATGTAATGTGGCTTCATGCTCCTGGAGCAGATCTCCAGGGCTGGGTGTTTAGCAGGCCTGGGCTTCTACTCCCTCCCCGCTCTATTTCTCTTCTTCCCGACAGTGAGCTGGGGTGGTGGAAGACTTGGGTCCCACCGGATCCCGGCTTTGCTACTTTACCCTTTTCCATGAGGTCTTTTTTTTCCCCCAGATGTAGGCCATCTGTTGCAGTTTTCTTTCTGGTCACTCTTTCAGGATTAGTTGTATTTGCTGTCTTTTTGTATTATATGTAGTTTTGGGAGGAAGTTTCTGCCTCACTTCTCACACTGCCATCTTTTTCCCAGCATGCTGAACTGTAGATTTTTAATGGTAAGTTGTAAAACAAGAGAACAGGTTTTGAAATATCTTTAGGGGTATTTGTTCTTATTAGAAAATGAATACAAAATTATTTATTGTGAGTTTAACAGGAGAGGAAAAAATAGTCTTTCCAAATGAGGTAATTTTATATCTTTTTAATCTTAATGCATACATGGTTTCCTTTGAGAGCACAGATTCTTTTTTAACCATTAATTTTCAAGAGGGCTAAGTATGCTCATTATATATACATGCACACAAGAGTAGAAAAACTGAATTTCAGTAAATCTCCAGATTCCGTAGTAGAGAGATCATTAATATTATTGTTTAATCGGTGCTACCAGCAGTAAAATAATAGCATTTGTAAATATATGGGTTTTAAAAGAAATGCAAGGATCTGAGAAACAAAATGAACTTGAATTGAGCAGACATGATGATGAATGAAAGAATAAGAAGAAATACCATAGGAGAATGCATGAAGATGTGTGAGATGTATGAAGCTGCACAAAACGCCTATTGGCTGGCCAAGACAGTCTGACATTATTGTACCCTGAGAGTAGGAAAATATACATAAGATATTGCCAAATATGATGCTGAAACATGTATGAATCAATATTTGTAAGTGCCAAAATTTTCTGTTGGTCTTGGTGGTAATTTATGAATAAGTATATAAAAAGCCATGAAAAGTGCTATTTCCCTAACTTTGTACTTCAGGAAGTTGTATTTCATTAAGTTTCCCTGTCTCAATTACTTCTATTATCTCTAAAATTTAGGTGAGTTATTCAGTTGGTTAATCTATGCCTCTTGTTCCCTTTTTCCATCCTTGATCAGTTTATCTCTCAGGCTTTTGGATTATATGGGAATTTTGCTTTATATGTCTGTGGATGCCTTTAATAAATACTCAATGTTGGGCAAGTGTTTTCAGTATTGGTTGTATTTTGAGGTAAAATTTAATAGATGTTAGACTAAAATGACATCCTCAACAAGGAGCTCTATGTCATTGATAACAGAGCTCTCGTGTAATGTAAAAGCTGTAGATAGCACATTCTTCAGGAAGCATCTCATAGAACCCCTCTGATTTAACAAAGCCTACATTTGTTGCTGCTCATTGCTTAGGACAAAGTAAATCATCGTTGTGGCCTATTTCTTTGTGTACACACACCTGTTTAAATGCCAAGACCTTTTCTTTGTGTTTTTGAAGTGGACAATTTCTCTAGTTCAATTCATCTGATTGTTCTTACTGATAAATTGTATAGGCAAGTATAGAAATCATTTTATGGCAGTTTTAATTATACATTATAATTTATTTGCTATACAAGTCAGAAACAAATACATCTGATAAAAATGATAGCACTGACTATATTGTGATTAATTTTTTTAATAGGGACTGTGAGCATGATATAGTACGGCATATAATTATCTTACATGTTACTAACCTACAAGAATGCCAGTGGGATAAAGTACCTTTGTTCTAGTAGTGACAAGATTTAGCTTAAGTGGAAAAGATCTCATGTAAGTTATTTGCCTAGCAGTGAAAGCTAAGACACAACTGAATATTAAGGATTGATATTTTCTAAAGGTTTGATTAGTTTAGGTAAATTCTTTGAAAATAAAATACATTTTCTGGGAAAAATCTTTTTTTTTTTCCTTGAGACATAAATATATTGTTGCTTTCTAAAGCAGATGACATGTAAGCCAAGGCAGTGTTTAACTCGTAAATTACACAAGGGTCACATTTTGGAAACTTTAGCTATTTTGTGTCCCAGTGGACTAGTCTTCCATTTTCTTCTCAAAAGGCTTATGTGTTGATTCATTTCCTTTACCAATATGACAATTTCCTGGACATATTTAGGGCTTTGGGCAAGATTATACTATGTTAATTAAAATGTTTTTACTAATGTCTTTTTAACTGTTTATAGCCTAGATTGTTCTAGGCTGTGTCGTTTGGGTTGTTGGATGCTTTGGCTGTTCTTATCCATTATTATCCAATGTTAGTTTCCTATAGTCTAAAAATATTGCCTTTTAACTATTCTGGGTTGTATGTTTGCATATTTAACCATATTGTGCTTACTGCGTACACTGAGCATTGAGTAATTCCTGGTCTTTTTTTCATACTAACGATAATAATGTGTTTAATTGTGAACAATATTTTAGCTTTAGCTATTCATAAAATGTTTTCGCTTGACTAACATATGGCCTTTTTTGCTAATGCTTCATGGTTGTCCTACAACCATTTAGGACGCTGCATTGGGATACAGATCCATCAGTTCTTCAGCTTCACTCAGATTCCGATTTGGGGTATTGAATAGATTTATTACCTTTCCTCTTTATAATTTGATGCCGTGTGAAACTATCCTCATTTTATTTTGCTTAAGTTCTCGATATGCAGTTTATAGTTAGGAAAGTTATATTTTTATTGTGACACCTCATTTATCCTCTATCATTAGTGAAAGAAATATTTTGCATATCTGATTTTCTAGGTACCCTAAGTTGACCCATTTCTGTCCAGTTTCCTTTTATTATTTCTACATTTTTATTAGATGTTTTTCTGAGATGTGTTAACAAACATTCCAGACTTTTTCTAATACATATTCTACATGTCATTGAACCTTCTTTTCTAGGTTAGTTGATGTTAATATTAACTAATTTTCCAATATTCAAATCCATTGATTATTTCTAAAGTTTTGAGAGGAACAGAGCTGTTGACCTTTATACTCTGGGCCCAGATTTTTGTTGATTTATTAATTTATTTATTGACTCATCTGTTTATTCTAGTTTCAATGCTGCCATTGTACCTTACTTAGCTCTCTTCTCTTGATAATTTGCAACTTCAAAAACATATGACCAATAGCTTATGGAATTATGTTTAAAGTAAGAGTAAATAGGCCTTGAATTACAGCATATAAGAAAAGTATATGAGCTTCTTATATGTTGACTGGAAGGCCTCTCTGCCCTGAGGCTCCCCCCGCCCCAACTTGCTTCCTTATTGTCAGTAACAGTGGCTTTTGGATAAGTGAGGTACCACCTCCCTACCATTTTACCCCTAAATCTTAGACTATTTTGTTTGTTTGTTCTAATATTGTGATTTTTATCTGTTAGATCCTATATGCACTCAAATTAGTAACTTGTTCCTAACATTGTTAGCTTGACCATTTACTTTTCATATAGTTTACATTTTAAAAATCAGAATATAAAATTTCTTTAAATTTTATTCATAGAAACTAGATTACTTCAAATATACTACATTCCCCATTTAATTCTTTGATTATACACTTTTTTTTTTTCCTTTAGGGCTAAGATATTCCTGAAGTAGAAAACATATTAAAAATTTCTTATGGCCCACATTTGGGACCTTTGAGAAAATTAATTTTTTAAATGTACTGATCTTCTATCCTGCTTGATATTCTGGGACTTACAGCAATGTTTTTATTAAATATCCTTTTAAGACAACTTCATAATTGAAAACTTCTTTGTGAGTTTGGAAGCATACTTTATTTGGTTTAGAGTTTATGCATTTAATATAATAACCAAAAAAAGATACCCCAGATATCTAATAAAATATATTTTTCATTTGGTCCATTCTCCTCAGCTGTAATTCTATTCTTCTGTTTGTCAAAAAAGAATGTATTCCCTTTATTTAAAACAGAAGTGACTTTAGTCATTTTATGGTATTCAAAGATCTGTTGCTTTAGTTTAAGTATAAAATACCTGCACTGTAGATACTCACTTTAAAACTGTCCTTTTAAAAATGTAAAGCACCTTGAATGATTCATAATATATTTGTTTTGCTACCTTCTAATTCTTCTATTAAAATAAAGTCAATTCATCATTCATCAGAAATTTGTTGAATAAAGCAGGGATTTAAATTATAATGTTGGATATACAGTATTAAATTCTTATTTTTCCAAAATAACATGGTTTAATTGTAGTTAAAATATATCAGTTGTTGTATTGAAAAACGTTTGTGTTCACTTTATTTAGACGAGGACCTATTAAACTTGGAATGGCTAAAATTATGCAAGTTGACTTTCCTCCTCGAGAAATCGTCACATATACAAAAGAAACTCAGACTCCAGTTATGGCTCAACCCAAAGAAGGTGAATATCAGTTATTAATGTGATTGTCACTAAGTCATATTAAATAGTTCTTCTTTCTCTTTTTTTCTTTTTTTGGTATATTTTCTTAGGGAAACATAAAACTAATGCTTTAGGGTTTCTGTACTTATGTGGTTTTTAGTTTTAAAACTTTTCCTTTTAGAAGTTAATAAAAGTATAACCTTTTGTTGACATAAATTTAAGTCTTTCAGTCTTCATTTTGTCATTGATATGTGCTGCTTTAGAAGCATAAATGCTTGAGTGTTCTATTTCTGCATCATCAAGCATAATTCTTGTCTAAAAGAGTGTATCCCATAGTAAATGAAATTACGTAACTTATTTTTTGTATAGCATACTATATTCTGATATGCTGCTATTGTTAACCATATTAGTGAGCAAATCTAGGCCTAATTCTTAAACTCCTTATTATATGATCTAAGGGCTCTTCTATGTTGATTGTATAGCAACCTTTAAATCTGTGTGTTGGAGGGAAGTATACACAGATATAATATTGAATGTGAATGTGGTGTTCTTTGATTGTTAAACCAGAAGAAGTTAACATTTTTATGTTGGGACCAATTTTAAAATCTCATCAGATAAGCTATTCAAATATAAAGTTAATATGATAGTTCTTGTTTTTCCCAGTGAGTCTAATAAATTTCTGTCACACTTAAAAGAGGTTTACATTAAAGATTTCTAATGCAAGTCCATAGTTTCTTATCTTAAACTATTAGAGCTATATATATATTAGAATTCAGAATTTTTCAGACTTCAGAAAAGTAACAAAACATATGTACTCTATGTAAACACTCCAGCAGCATCTTGGGCATTATTATTTTAGCAGCAAAATATATGAATATTCAAACTAAGTGGGACAAATAATGATTACAAATAGTTTTACTTCTTGTCATATCAGGTTTACCACTAAATGAGTTAAGGATTTTAGAGTTGATACTTTGGGATTGTGGGTCATAATAAATTATTCTTTTAGCAGTGTGCATAAAGAACGTATTTTCTCCTTAGCCAGGAAAATTTATTCCTATTTAATTAGAGAATATCAAATATTAAAACTTTATCAAATGTTAAATTTACTTTTAAAATTTCAACTAAATTAGCACATTTCTCCATTAAAGAGAAACAAAAGTAATATTCATTGCAGAAAACTCAGAAGATACAGGTAAGCCAAGGGGAGAAGTCCTTGAAATCCCTAGCTATTACCAAAGAAAAATCTTTAAATTTTCATGTTTATATATCTCAAAAGAAAATAGGCTTATAACTGTTTACCTTTCTTGACCATCACGTGCACATTTACCAACTCTCCTTTCCCTGCCCACTAAGGAATTGAAATAAATACCTTGAACTTTTCCTTTCACTTCCATCTTATCCTCAAAAGGAGTAGACATTATCATACATACAATTTACACTTTGAAAAAATTTGAGGAAGTCAGGATAATGTTTTTATCCAACTGATTTTTTACTCAATCATATGAATGTTCATGTCTGTGGATACTTTTTTTAATTCGCACTGCTCCGTTGACTGGTAAGATAGCTTTCATGGATGCAAAATCCTCATCTTAGCAGAACAAAAAGCCACTAATGGTAAACTTTGTTGAGACATAAGCAGCTTAAAAGAAAAACAAAAAAGGAAAGATAAAGTGTTGAACTGTCAGTATGGAGAATACTAACACTGTAGGATTCCATAATTTCTAGAAAATATTATTATCTAGTATATTAATTCAAGTATTATAATGTCTGTCTTCTTGGAGCTGTATTAGATACATTAACTCAGAAAGTGAGTGAAATAGCCATGATGAGGGCACAATGACTCATTTTAAGAACAAATTAGACTTTTTTTTCTTCACCTAATGATTTGGAGATTAATTTTTAGTTATACCATCATACTTATGAAATGCATTTTGGATTGTTTCAAATGTAAAGCATTCTGAAGCTATTTGGGGTAGTGGCTGTTATACCTATAATATTCCGTTTAAGTGAAAACTTACCTTTTTTTAAAAGATTTTTTCTTATTATTATAGTATGTTATAGAGAGTTTAGGAAAGAATGAAACTGGACTACCACTACCTTAACACCATATACAAAAACAAATTCAAAATGGATTAAAAACTTGAATGTAAGACCTGAAACTATAAAACTCCTAGAAGAAAATATAAGCAGTAAGCTCTGACATTGGTCTTAGCATTATATATATTTTTGGACCAGTCTCCTCAGACAAGAGCAATAAAAGCTAAAATAAACAAATGGGACTACATCAAACTAAAAAGCTTTTCCACAGTGAAGAAAACCACAAAATAAAAAGGCATCATACTAAATGGGAGAAGATATTTGCAAATCATATATCTGAGAAGGGATTAATATCCAAAATATATAAAGAACTTAACACAATTTAATATAAAAAAAAACAGACACTTCTTCAAAGAAGACATACAGATGGCCAAGGGACACATGAAAAGATGCTCCACATCATTAGTCATCAGGGAAATGCAAATCAAAACCACAGTGAGATATCACCTTTCACCTGTCCGATTGGCTATTATCAAAAAGACAAATAGCAAGTATTATTGAGATTGTGGAGAAAAAGGAACCCTTGTATACCGTTGGTGGTAATATAAATTGGTACAGCCACTATGGAAAACAGTCTGGAAGTTCCTCAAAAAATTAAAAATAGAACTACCATCTGACCCATCAATTCCACTTCTGGATATTTTTCTGAAGAAAGAAAAACACCAACTCAAAAAGAGATAAGCACCTCTAACTTCATTGCAGCATTATTTACAGTAGCCAACATAGGAAGCAACCTAAGTGTCCATTGATAGATGACACTTGGATAAAGAAGATAATGTGTGTACGTGTGTGTGTATGTGTATACACATAGCCTTTGTTTTGACCATAGAAAAGAATCAAGTCTTGCCATTTGTGACAACATGGATGGACCTACAGGGTATTATGCTAAGTGAATTCAGACAGAGAAAGACAAATACTGTATGTTTTCTCATATATGAGATCGAAAAACAAACAAACATACTTACATACAGGAAACAAACTGTTCGTTATCAGGGAGTAGGCAGAATAGATGAAGAGGATTAAGAGATACAAACTTGTACGTATAAAGTCAGTCAGTCATGGGGATATAATATACAGTATAGACAGTATAGTCAATAATACTGCAATAATTTTGTATGGAAACATGATAACTAGACTTACTGTGAGGATCATTTCATAATGTATAGAAATATCAAATAACTGTGATATACAGCTAAAACTAATAGGATATTGTATGTCAGTTATACTTCAATAAAAACAAAGGCTTAAAGAGGAAATGTCTGTAATACCACTGTGAAATAGCCCTTGTTAGTATTTTGTTTCCAGTTTTCTATGATAGATTTTTTTAATTCTACAAATGTGTATGTATACACACACACACACACGGTTTTATAGCCTACTTGAAATTTGCATTTTTAATTACTTATTTTTAAGATGCATATAAATTTTTTAATGTAAACAGCTTTTTAACTCATATGAATGTATAGTTGCAATATAAGCTGGCCTTTTTCACTAAATTCTCTTTCCCATTTTAATTTTGTAAGGAATTAAAAAATTAAAAAGATCATAATTTGTTAGGTAAGCTAATGATCCAGAAGCACAAGATGATGTGATTATTTTCAGTTGGAGATTGCTTGGCATCATCATACTTTAGCCTCTTTGCCAAATTCTCCATGAGTTGAAGGGACTGTTTCTTCTTCATTGCTATAATGACTGGTCTGAATAGGGCCTGGTGTGTAGTAAGTACTCATTACGTTTTTGGTAAGGAAGAAGGAATTAATTGCTTTTACCTACTCAGGAAAATCATTTTGCTTACCTGAGATAACTATTTCCAGGCATTTACTCTGAAAGTAACTACTTGGAAAATAGGTTATTTTCAGGTGTTAATACTACAATATTATTATTAATGTTGGGTGAAAGAATTGGTCTCAGTTCTTAGTTTTTAATATATCATATTCTAATCATTATTTGCTCTTAGATCTATAAATGAAACCATTGCAGGTTCTCCATTATAGTCTTCTTGAATTAATGATGGCATACTTGCTCTGTAGATATAAACATGCTATTTTGTGTTCTTTGTATCTTTCTGAATGCTGTGAACAAATTGAACCTGTTAACATTCAGCTACATTAATTTAGGTATTCATTTGTACAGTTCTTCAAAATTCATGCTTAAATTGATGACTGAAAATTTTAACAGCAAAGAGTGCCTACTACATATCAAGTATAGTGTAAGGCACTTTACATTATCTCTTAGTTCTCTCACCAAAACTTTTAGGGTTAAGTATTGGTTCTTTTTACACATGAAGAAGCTGAAGCTGAAAGAGATAGTTTATCAAGGGTCACAAAGCTAGTAGTTAAGATTCTAAACCAAGTCTACCTGAATCCAAGGTGTGCTGTCTCATGCTGCCACTGAAGCAGCACTTTCATGCATTTATGATAATAGCCTGTGGTAGGGAACAGTTTATGTTACAATCCAGTACATAGATACCGATACATAACTGAAACAAAAGTTTTATGAAATAGCACTTTCCTGTCTCTTAACTGTATTTCATCTTTTAAAATGTTGACCATGATGTACTAAATTTATTGGCTTAGGCTCGTAGTTTGAAAAACACTTCATTAAAGGGTTCCTGGTTTAGCTAACTTATTTACTGATATATCTGCATCAGGATACCACTTTATACTGATTGCCTAAGAGAAATGAATAAACAGCTTTAATCTTCCATAGTGTTAAATAGAGTTTTTGTTATTTTCACTGATAGAAGGTGAAAATGACAGGATGGGTGTTGAGTCCAGTTTCTAATGGATATGTCTGCATCAACACCAGTTCCTTTAAAATTTTCCTATGAGGGCTAGACTTAGATGATAATTTTTTTAAGATCCATGTTTATTCATTTGCAACAGAACAAGTATTCACTGATTCTACAGGTTTATTGAGTA